CAAACCCGCCCACCACTCCCTCCCCCGCCCACCACTTTGCTGCTCTCGTCTTGCAGGAATCGTGCAGTAATAGGATGGTCATCGTGCAGTAACAAGACCACATTATCGCAGTAACAACGTCAAAAAGTAGCTATGATGGATCTTGTTTCGTTAAGCGTTTTTTTATGAACTTCATGGTGCAAACGGATTGAAAATACAAGATATGATGTGAGAGATATTGCTCTCTAAAGATTGAGATTTACCTTTTTTTAGTCCTCATCTCACTGAAACAGCGTAGTAACATGATGGCCAATATGCAGTAACACCTCTGCTTTTCGCTGTAACAATGTTAAAAAATAGTTATGATGGTTCTAGTTTCGTTAAGCACTTTTTTTGACGAATGCCATGATGCAAATGGGTTAGAAAAATAAGACATAACGTGTATGTTAGTACTCTCTAAATATTGAGATTTAAAATACTCTAGATCTAAAAAAACATTACTACTATAGGGCCACTGTTACTATGCATGTTCTCTGTTTACTATAAATTTCGTCATATTGTTACTGCCAAAAGTGCAGTAACAACCTATACATTTTTCCAGTAACATATGATGTTACTATATTTCTGGGATAATGTTACTGCCGAATCATAGTAACAAGGTATGATTGTTATAGGTACATAACTGATTTGTTCACAAATCATCATATGGTGATTTGGTTAGAAGTGCTTGTCATAAACCATGAGATCATTGGTTCAAGTCTTGAATTCACCAATTTATTTTTAATTTTTCTAAAAAAGAGAGAAGAAGGAGGGAGAGAAAAAAGGAGGGGGAATCGGAGGGAGGGGGCGCTGGGGGAGGGAGGAGGGAGAGAGGGGCGACAGGAGGGAGGGGTGTATATATATATATATATATATATATATATGTTACACAGATTGTGTGTAAATTCCGAGATGAATTTTTTAAGCCTAGTTGCGTCATGATTTGATAATGTAGTGCTACAGTAAATATTTGCTAATGATGAATTAATTAGGCTTAATAAATTCATCTCACGGTTTACAGGTGGATTATATAATTTGTTTTATTATCAGATTACGTTTAATACTTTAAATATATTTCCAAATATCCGATACAACACTATAAAATTTTACAACCCTTTTATCTAAACACAGCCTTATTTTAGGGCGGAGGTACTAAGTACTCCCTCTGTATTTTAATGTATGACGCTGTTAACTTTTTATCAACGTTTGACCATTCATTTTATTCAAAATTTTTGTGTAAATATGGGAATATTTATGTCATGCTTAAAAAATATCTGATGATGAATTAAGTCACAATAAAATAAATGATAGTTACATCAATTTTTTAATAAGACGAATGGTTACACGTTGGATAAAAAGTCAACGGCATCATACATTAAAATATATTTAAAATATATAGATAGAGGAAATACATGAACAGTGGCCGACGACGTCATCGGATCATCACAACGGCCGCGGCGGCAGTAGTAGTGCTCGTGCACGATACTCCCATTTCTCATCCCCCATCCCCTGCGCTCACAAGCTCTGTGCCCCCCTATCCCTCGGAACCCAAACCCCCCTCTGTTCTTGCCACGAGCAATACCACATATGCCCCGCGCCCAAAATCTCTCTCAAAAAAAAAACGTTCTCCCTCCGTTTCGAAATGTTCGACACCGTTGACTTTTTAGCACATGTTTAACCGTTCGTCTTATTCAAAAACTTTTATGAAATATGTAAAATTGTATGCCTACATAAAAATATATTTAACAATAAATCAAATGATATGAAAATAATTAATAATTACCTAAATTTTTTAAATAAGAAAAAATCAAACATTTCGAAACTAGCAAATCCAATAGCGTCGCATTCATCTGTGTAATCATCGCCGATCCCGATGCCGCCTCCGCCCCCGCCCCGCCGCGCTGGATCCAGCTCACCTACCAGGAGCCGGGCCCACCACCACACCCCACGCCTTCGTGCGCGCTGCCGCACGAAGCTGGAGTACCCATGACCCCCGGTCACTGACATGGTGGTCCCGCGGATACGTGGGCCCCAGCTGCCATAGGCGTAAGGTTGCGTAGCGGCGGGGGGCGTGTGGGTGGTGTGGGTGAGGGTGAAGGCGGTGGTGGGTTGGGTTGGTTGGTTGGGCTGACCCGGCTCTCCTCGCGTTGACATGGTTAGGAGGGATTAACCACACGTGACGTTTTGTATTCCTCGCAGTCTAGAATGTACTCCTACTCCTACTCCTGCTACTCCTATGTACTGGTAGAAGTATTTGAAGACATGCCTACCCTATTTAACTTTTTGGCTTATCCATATTATCTAGGATTTAAACATTTGAATAAATTTTAAGCTTTTTCTTATCACAGTTATTTATCCGTATCAGTTTTTGGATCACAAAAATATGAATACAAATCCTTATCCATGAATTCTTTTTGGGTTGCTAGAGCAAAGAATGAGACCACATGCACATGGATGTATCGGTACCAGTTAACCGTATTTTCAATTTTTCAGCCTGTCCGGTCGCCGTCATTGATCGAGCTTGGTGGCGACGTTTCTTAGTAAACTGATGTGTGGAGTTTTAATGTTTTCAGTAAGCATTGTTTAGCAATTAAACGAGTGTCGAACGAAGTTAACAAGGTACAATATCTACTAGTAGGAGGCTAGGAATACCTCTATCCTATTTAAGTTTACAATATCTAGGAGGCTAGGAGTACCTTCATCCTATTTAAGCATTTTTAAGTAGGAATGAGTATTAAGAAAGCAAGTAAAAACGATTGGAGAAATATTATGATTGATTGAGAAGGAAAAGTAGATGAAAAAGTTAAATGGAGAATGATTACGGTTGATTGTGAGGATTGGGAATGTGAAGAAGTAGCTTCATTTTGTACCTCTAGAGCAATGCTTTAAAATTTTTTGTGATGTTCTAGATGAGATGAGGTTTACAACTCTATGGTAGGTTAGAAAAATGGGCGTGCTAAAAAAAAATGTGTATATGTACCTCTTCCCTCCTAATAGAAAGAACCATGAACAGATATGAACTGGCTCAGTTGCCACTGCACACCATATTTATGGTTTGCACGTAATTGGAAACTGACGACCTCACTACTTCCTCCGTCCCATTTTAAGTGCAGTTATGGATTTTCGTATATAATGTTTGACTGTCCATCTTATTTTATTTTTTATGATTAGTATTCTTATTGTTATTAGATAATAAAACATGATCAATACTTTATGCGCAAATTATTTGTTTTTAATTTTTCATAAAATTTTCAAATAAGACGAGCACTCATACATTGGACACGGCAACCACAGCTACACTTAAAATGATACGGAGGAAGTATTTGCTACTAATAGTCGATATTGTGCTCGTTAAACAGGGCTTCTGACTCTTTGCCATCCTTCCCAATGGAGTATTCTCAAATACCATCTTTCCAAATAACCTTGATTATTTGCCATCTGGGCCCACTAGACTATTGCTATTTTGTCACTTTTAATTGCTAACTTAGCAAACTGGGTAACAAAAGACCTCACCCATTATCTCATCTCTCCTATCTTTCTTCCAACTCACTTCCTTTGGTTCGCGAGCTGCCTTGGCTCCGGCAAGGTCTTACACACCGGCGAGCTTCCCGCCTACGAACTGTACCCGTTCTTCTCCCTCCACTCCTCCCCCGTCATATCGTCGTCGCCACCATTCCCCTTTGTGGAGCTGGGATGCAAGGCCGGCCACCATGTTGGATCCTACGGGTGGCAACCATCGACAGAGACAGCGGCGATGGATGACTGGGTGGAAGACCTTAGAGGCGACGGATGGAGGTTTGGATTGCTAGAGACTTCCCGACATCCACGCCTCCTTCATTGTCATGCTCGGACGAGCGAGAGAGAGAGAGAGAGAGAGAGAGATAGAGAGAGCTCATTAGTGGACTGACAGCAACATCCACCTCCCCATCCCGGCGGCACCGTGAAGCCCTACCAGCCGTGTATCTAAGCTCGTCGGTTATCGTCGCCTCCATCGACAAGGAGCTTGTTGGGACGGGGTGGGTGGTGAACCACCAGCAACAACAACATCCTCCCTATCCCGGTGGGTCCGCGAAGCCCGACCGACTATGTCTCCGAGCTCACCTCCATCGCCAGCTTGCAGGACCTTGCTAGAATTAGGCCAACTCGCTGACATGAGGAAAGGGGAAGGACTGCCAAGGAAGAAGGTATGAAAAAGGAGATAAGGGGCTAGGAAGTCTTTTGTCACCCGGTTTGCTGAGCTACCAATCAAAAGTGGCAAAATAGCAATAGCCTAGTGGGCCCGGATGGTAAATAATTAAAGTTGTTTGGAAGGATGGCATTTGAGAACACGTTGTTAGGGAGGATGGCTAAGAGTAAAAAAAAAATCCCTTATTGAACACATATAATAGGAGATCTCAAATAGACATGAGAAAAAAAGCTTAGTAGAGAAAATACCTAGTCCTTGCCTAGTACCCTTGAGAAAATACCCGTAAACCCCTTTCATTTGAACTATGAACATAGAAATTTTGTAGGATTTTTGTTCTATATTTTTTTTTCTAAATGATCCTTAGAAACAAAGGCTGGACAATATAGAATTATGAAATATATATGAAATGATTCAATCCACGCAGGTTTTGAGGAAATTTAATATTGAGGTCCAACCTCATGGGTAGTTTCATTTTGATCTCTCCTCAAAATCCTGCATTTTCATGCCATCTAACCAAGCGCTATCTTTGTTTTTCCTTTTTTGTGATTTGTAGCCTTTTATTTTACACTTATATTTCTGTCAATCCTATGTTTCTCCTATCCTTGCATTCAGAGGAGCCCTTATTGTAACTTTGAACTGCTTGATTGGCTTTGAGCACCAATCGAGGATGAACATACAAGCAAAATGCGAAAAGAATAACAATGCTAACACATGACGACATGACATTAGTTGTAACTTTATAGCAAATTGATAGCAGGACCACCTTGTCAGATAGCATGTGAGCCAGCACCGTCAATGCTCAGTGAAAATTTCGTGCGTAACATTATAAGTTAATTAACTGAAAATCCTTCCAACCGTACAAATTTGATAATTTTACTGTCGAAGAACCTGCAATCTCATGAAATTTACAGTTCGGTAATTTAGGTAACTACAGATGAAGCTATGATCATTCTTAGCTGAGGTGCAAGCGAAGCGAAAACCCGACGTGACGATACAGTAGTTGCAGTGTTCTGAACGACCTAACAAGCAAGCACGTCAGTCAAAGGTCCGATAGGGCGTCGAAACAAAGCCTGAACCGAAGTAGCAGTCGAAAGTTCAGTAAACTGAACGCGATGGAATTGGACGAGATGGAAAAATCTGACCAAGGAAGCTGCTGGCCTGCTGCTTGCTGCTGCTGCACACGGAGCTGTTTGGAGTGTGGACTTTTGTGTGAAATGTGCGTGGAGCTGTCTGCCCGGGTTGCTGCTGTCTCTGTCTGCCACACTCACTTCTTTCTCTTCTTCTTGTTCCTTCATCAGGGTAACAAGTCGAAATTGGATGTGTCTTACTGTAACTGAGAGATCATCTCTGATGGAAACATATGGCAGTCTCCACATGTGGCCATTTCAATTGCAATGGGGGGGCCTCCTTGCTGCCGCTGTAACTCTGGTGCATTGAAACGGTGAGGGGTAGATGGCAAGCAGGGTCCATGCCATGTCTGCGCGATGTTGCCCCATGTGGTGTGTTATTGGCGATTTGCTTGTCCTCCACACATGCAGCTGAGCTGAGACCACCGCGGATTATTTGATTGTTTCCCTTCCCAATGTGATCCCTAGCAGGCTAGCATGGCCACTGAAAAATGAGTGGATGGGATGCACCCAGCCGCAGCTCTAGCCTGATAAATGATTTAGGTTTCAATATCTTGATATGCATGTACTCCAAAAGAATGACATGTTTTTGATAACAAAGAGAGAGGAACTTATGCCATTGCTAACTTCTATATCTTGGGGATAAGGTTCACATACCTGCTTTTGCAGTCGAAGCAAATAGATCGAATCTGCAATTCCGGTAAGCGTTGAGAGAGACGGTAATATCTTTAAAAGAACTCTCAGGAAGTGCAGCGATCCACTGAAACAGCCAAAATACATGATGAATAGTTGGTCAAGTCTCTACTTGTACTAACAAGAATGCAGTCAATTTTCCACCAGATAAATGCTATGACCCATGTGATTTTATTTTTCTATTCCCTTATGAGTAATCATGAATAATCACCTCCATAAATCATAATTACCGGCCATGACTTGTAAGGTCGTAAGGATAAGAGAAGACTGGTAGGCTTCTGTTTAGTTGTCGCTGTCTATTGCACCTGTCTGTCGCCTGAACCTATTTAGAATGCTGTGAAGTCGTAAACAGAAGGGGCAATCCTGGTTATTTTCTCTACTGACAACAGTCCACGATTGAACTGAAATAGAAGGATTAGCATGAACTAATCACTTCTGTATATTAAAAGTTTTAAATCCCCAATATTTCTCATATAGAGCTATCCTATGTGGCCATATCAAAGTGAAAGCATCACTTAAGAGGAGACTGGCGATATTTATGGATGCATCAAAAAGCTGTAGAGATATTTGTTGATGCAGAATCCAAACAAACTATGACAGTAGCTTGAATGAACATGAAAAATGTCGACAGGTGAAAAATTCAGGTCTAATATATAAATTACAACATTTCTCTACCCTACATTTTTTCTCTCCAGACCTGGCTTGTTTTCTTTGCTCCTTATCTTGGTCATCGACCACACTCTCCATCATCATCCAATCCTTGAGAAGGTTTAATTGTTGCAATACCAAATCTGATATGACTAAAGCTATGAAAGGGAAAGAACGATGGATACGCGAATCATTTCAAGCACATTTTGTGCCTCATGCAAGATAAGTTATCGAGAGGATATAACTCTTAGCAGCTATGACAAAGCTCGGAAAAATGCAGAACATGCTTCAGGAGTATTACTACCAGATGATTTCCAGCTTTTGTTTATTTTTCTTAAATTTTAAGTACCCAAAAGTACTTCAGAGTTCTGGTCTAATGGTCAGTTGGATTCACTACATATTCCCTCGACAAAATCACATCTTGTTCAGCTACTGCTCAAGTGCTCAGATGGCATTTAATATCAAATAGCCTCATGTATCAATCTTATCATCAATGCTTGGGCTTTCTAATTGCCCAGAAAACAGCTCAAAATAAGAGCCTGACCACAGGCATCACCTCAGTGTTTAAAAGAGGGAAGTTACGAAAGGTAACTCACACTAAATAGGACTCATCAATGGACTCTAATTTCTTCAGAGCTCGTCTTAACAGCATGTTCCGAAGCGCTAACATCGGTCCAAGAAGATCTTCATCTCAAAAATCCCAACCTGTATTTTTCTCTATCTAAAAAGCTTATGATCAGAAACAGACATGCCTTGCTCATCAGTTACTCAGTTAATTTCACTATTCCAATTTCCAAGCCAACGGAATCGTTTTTGCATCACAACGCCCACCATCCAGCATGCTGCAAAGCTGTAGCATCGGTTTTAGGAAATTCCATAAACACCGAGACATAGCTTCTCCACTACCTAAAAAGGCTAGATGATCGAAACAAAAAAAAACATGCCCTTGATTTACTAATCTCGCCACGCAAAGTTGCCAAGCCGACAGAACTGCCTTTTTTTGCATCGCAACACCCCACTAAGCCCGAAAGTGCCGCATCATCATCATCATCATCATCATCATCATCATCATCATCAGTATACTAGTTTATGCAACCGCACGGCACAGAAGGCGGCGGGCGGATCACGCACGATTCGTGGCTGGCATTCTCTCTTGGAGCTAGAAAAATCTCGCCGCCAAACAGGCAGCCGGATCTGTGGGGATCCCCAAATCATATAACTATGAAACAGTGATGAGGGTGATGTCGTGATGAGGTGGGAGAGGGGGGGGGGGCAAGGTACCTGATGAGCCCGAGCGGCGAAGGGTGGGCGATGCGTGCGGCGCCACCGAGGAGCGCGCGGTGGCGGCGGCGGCGGCGGCCATCGCCGCCGCGGCGGTGGGGGGTGGGACGCGATGCTCTCCGCGGCCGGGCTTCCTTGAGGCGAGCCAGTGTGGCCATCCTTTTCGTGGGCCGCACTCTAGACGTTGCGGCCCAGTATAAACGGTTTCGGGCTGGCCCATTTAGCTGTGCAAAATTCGTGCTTTCCTTTTTTTTCTCTCTCCCCTTTTAGTGGCATTTCTCTTCCATCAACGAATGCAACCAAAATATATTTCGTAGCATATGACATGATGCTGCTGCCATCGATGATCGAATACGAGATGTGGTATCCTATTACGATGAATCTGGATACATTCGTTATATTAGAAATCATCGCATTTCATATTAGGATAATTTATTTTGGAATGGAAGGAGTACCTATATGACACGAGATTTGCGTAGAGCGTAGGAATTTTGCAATGGTATGATTCTTATCCATTTTATTTCCATGAAAATTGATTGGAGATAGATAACACAACGACATGAATTAGGAGAGCTTGTATCACCGTTGGTATCTACTAATCGATGACTATAGTTTGATCTCCTAGCTCGCTAATTTTGCAAATTTGGTGATGAACATCATTTGCTTAGTGAACCTGACTATTTCTATTTCCGTGGCACAATAGTTTAGGTTAGTTGTGAGTTTGTTCTAGTTATGATTTTCGTCCAGTTTTTTCCTATTAAGATTGATGAGAACATCACTCTTTCGGTACGTACAAAGGAGAAACAAGAAGCACTTGAAAAGAGACTTGAAAAATAGAGGCCTAATTCATATCAAGTTCAAGCCCACCTCAGAATCCAAGAGCAACCCGCACTAAAATCGTCACCCAGATCTCATTCGGATTCCATTATGTATGGAAAGATAATGAGACCAACTTTCGAATGAGCCTTGTCTCACATCAAAATTCCTTCTAAGTCAACATGAATCGTCGAAACAAGAGAGCATATAGAATCTATACGAGTGTCACGTCACCGTCTTAACATGTTGTGTATCGTGTTGGAGTCCATTAGAGACTCGTCCAGGGCTTCTTGGTCGACTATATAACTTATTTATTTAGTAGTTGTCTCCGAATTATGGTTAGATTTGCTTATATTATTATGGCATTGCAGTTTCACGCTGCTTCGGTTTGTGAAATCCAACTTGTGAGATTCGTCTTATATTCATAAATTTTTCAGATTGCTTCTTCCACTCACTTGCTTGTATTCTCGATTTGCTTGTAAGAGATAGTCTTATCGAGGAGGTCAGTAATATTTCGGCTCGGTTGATAACCAATCGAAGAGTGGTTTAGTGATTAGGAGGGATTCGATCGTCCTGATCAGAGCCTTTAGATCATCGTTGAGTATCCATAATCGACTTTATCAATACCTATTGGAAGATCGAAACCCTAGTTCCTCATCCAAGGTTTAGTCTCATTTCTCATTTTCTCCTTAAAACAATATACCCTTTTCTATGTATAAAATGTCAGCATTGGTGACCGTGTTAAGAAAAGGATGGATGACCATATAAAAGGGGACATTCTCATACAATCACTTCGATACCAACATAAAACCAACATAGGCCGTTTAGTTCGCGAAAAAAAAAATTTTGGGTATCACATCGAACGTTTGATTGGATGTCGCAAGGAGTTTTCGGACACGAATGAAAAAACTAATTTCATAACTCGCCTGGAAACCGCGAGACGAATCTTTTGAGCCTAATTAAGCCGTCATTAGCACATATGGATTACTGTAGCACTTATGGCTAATCATGGACTAATTAGACTCAAAAGATTCATCTCGCGATTTCCATGCAAACTGTGCAATTAGTTTTTTGTTTTTATCTACATTTAATGTTCCATGCATGTGTCCAAAGATTCGATGTGATATTTTTGGGAAAAAAATTGCGAACTAAACCCAACCATACCGTCTTTTACCATCGTGGCACATGAGTTTAGGCCCTGTTTGATTCAGCTTATGATTATTATAATTTGGATTATTAGGAATAAGCTGAAACAAACATATAGCATATTATGATAGATTATTACAATCTATAAGCCAGATTACTATAATCCAGTAATCCACGCTAAAGGTGTTTTTTTAAAATTATTGGGTGGCTAACATTTAACAAACAGCTTATAATCCAGAGAAACAAACAGCTCACAACTTATTATATATCGGCATATTATAATTCAGCTTACATTCATTTGGCTCAGTAATCTAGATTATAATAATCTTAGAATGAAACAAACATGGCCTTAATCATTACGCAGCAAACACCATTTTTTTTCTCGACTTAATTTCCACCCATACATCATAAAACATCCAACCATTAATCACGGCACCGCAATAATACACTTCCTAATATAAACACATGCTTCCCTAAAAAAACACACACGCTTTATACCTATAGCAAGCATCCGTGTCCCCCACTAATCCTCTCTCTAACAACAAGTTTAATAGTAAAGCTAAATATTGACTATTAGACTGAATTCGGGAACCTCACTCGCAACAAGCAAAATGGAGCGGCAGCTAGTGCTTGATTTATTAAGTATTAGTTAAAATAAACTTGAAAAAGAGATTAATATAATTTTTTAAAGGCAACTTTTCTATATTTTTTTTTCAAAATACACACCGTTTAGTAATTTAGGAAGCGTGGAAAACGAGAAAGGTACACTGGAAAAGGTAGGGGAAGAACACAACCTTAGCCTATATTGCAACTAACATGTATAATATGTTAACAATTGACTATATTTTTTTCTCCACTCCTTTTCTCCCACTATAAATTTAATGTAAATATCTTGAACAAACATGTATATAACTAACTCTTGCATTGAGATATACTTGGTAGTGCAGTGGCAGGGGTGTGTGATTTCAACTTCGAGTTTCCGTGTTTAATCCCTAGAACACTCATATTTTTTTAAAAAAAATATTTAGAGGGACATATGTCCCTCAAAATCTCGTTTTTAACTAGCTCTTGCATTATAACCAATACTTCTTATTTTTCTTTATCTTTTTTTTCATATAAGTTTATAGTTAGCTTAGACCCCCGTCGTTTAGCCAATACGTATTAGGAAAGCAATAATAATTTATATGCAAGACTTATGTGTGTGTGTTTTTAGCGATTTAAATACCAATGCTAAAAAATAAATTTGAATGAAAATCAACTTTAAATTTGAGTTTGAAAATTCAAATTTTAGCAGCGACTGATTGAAACAATAGGAGCATTATTATCCTCGCTCAAATGGACTGATTTGGCCGGGGGTGAGTCAGAGTCACCAAGGGGGTGTGGATGGAAATGGAATCCACCTCACGTTTGGTGGGCCACCCAAACCCCAAAAACCCTACCGCCGACCGCGGCGCACAGAGAGAGAAAGGGAGAAAACCCACGCCACGGCGGACACGCGCCCCGAAAGATAGCCCCCTCCTCCCTCTCTCGCTCTCGGTGCTCGGGCTCGGACACGAGGGAAGCACACACTGTTTCTTCCGCCGTGCGCGGCGCACGAAAACCCGCACCTCCTCCGCCTCCGCGCGCCCCTGCTCGGCGGCCTCCTCTCCTCTCCCACCCATGGCGCCCCCACCGGCTTCCTCCCTCCCCACGGCCGTCCTCGCATGGTGAGTGGAGTGCTCCGACCTGCTGCTTCGCTCCCGCGGCCGGCGGCGGCGCTGATGGCGCCTTCTCTCTCTCTCTCTGTGTTTTGTGTGTAGGGGTTCGGGGGAGGACGGGCAGCTGGGCATGGGCGGCTACGAGGAGGAGGACTGGGCGCGGGGAGTCGCCGCGCTCGACGCGCTCGCCGTCTCCGCCGTCGTCGCCGGCAGCCGCAACTCCCTCGCCATCTGCGCCGATGGCCGCGTACGCTCTCTCCCTCTCTCTCCCTCCATCTCTCGATCGAGGCCTTCGCTGGGTTTCTGATCTGATTCGATCGTGTACTGCTCTGCTGCAGCTCTTCACGTGGGGGTGGAACCAGCGCGGCACGCTCGGGCACCCGCCGGAGACCAAGACGGAGAGCTCCCCGGCCCCCGTCGATGCCCTCGCCGGCGTCAGCATCGTGCAGGTCACCGCAGATCATTCCTCTTCCAATCGCGATTTGAGCTACCTGCAGTAGTAGTGAGCACTAACGAATGCGAGTGTGTGTCCTGCTAATTACCAGGCGGCGATCGGCGGATGGCATTGCCTCGCGGTGGACGACAAGGGGAGAGCATACGCTTGGGGTACGGGGACGGGGAGCTCGGCTCGCCTTGCTTGGTTTTCTGTCAATTCTGTGACCCGATTTGGTTGGATTTGATGCAATGTGAGCGTGTGGATGGGTTGTTGCAGGGGGCAACGAGTATGGGCAGTGTGGGGAGGAGGCTGAGAGGAAGGAAGATGGAACCAGGGCTCTCAGGAGGGACATTCCGATCCCGCAGGGGTGTGCCCCCAAGCTGAAAGTCCGGCAAGTGAGTGGAATCGATTCCTGACTTGTCCTACAATTTGTCCCCATGAGAATGCTGGAATTTTATCACGTCTTTGTTGATGCAGCATGGTTGTAGGGGATAACCGGATAATGGGAATCCAACAAATTGTGCACTATCACCTTGGCATCTGCTACTTGCCCAACAAGTGTTAGGTTGTGGAACACATTTCTTAGGTCGTAAATCGCTTGAAGGGTCGCCAGGATATATGTTTTGCAACTGTGATAACGTATTATATCCAAAATGAATGGTTATTGTCACATAATAATGCTGTAACGTTTTGTCATGCACTCCCAAAATGGTTTGTTATTGTAACAGAATAATGCTATAATGTTTTGTCATGCACTCCCAAAATGGATTTTTATCGTAACAGAATAATGCTATAATGTTTTGTCATGCACTCCCGAAATGGATTTTTATCGTAACAGAATAATGCTATAACATTTTGTCGTGCACTCCACTTTTCCATAATGATAATATTTTGTCATGCACTTCCACCTTTTATTTCTTAGCATGGGTTTTCTAATCGTTCCCGTTAATTGTAGGTTGCTGCTGGAGGGACACACTCGGTCGTCTTGACACAAGATGGCCATGTTTGGACATGGGGACAACCATGGCCTCCAGGCGATATGTATAGTGCCTTATTGCTTTATGCTGAAATTTGTTTTTCTCCCTATATGTGCTGGTGACCATTAGTCCTTTTTCAGCAAGCAAATATCTACACCAGTGCGGGTGCAAGGCCTTGAGAATGTAAAGGTGATTGCTGTAGGTGCATTCCATAATTTGGCTCTAACAGAAGATGGAATTTTGTGGGCATGGGGTAACAATGAGTATGGTCAACTGGGCACTGGAGATACTCAACCAAGATCGCAACCAATCCGTGTTGAAGGATTATCTGACCTTTCATTGGTGAGCCACACTGATTTGGTTTCTTCTAATTCTGATAACTTGTGAAATAAAGTTTATAACAGGGTGGTTGTCTTCTCAAGACATTACTAACAAAGCCCAAAACAGAACCTAGTCTTTTGGATCCTGCGTTAAACTATGTTTGCTTACAGTCACTTCAGTTGTGCTCGGTTCATCTCACAAGCCATGGTGTTCAGTACCTCCACTCCTAACCATTTACACTAGTATGTTTGATTCTAGCTATACATATAACTTTGTGCTGATTATAGGCTACCACTGTATGCTGATAAATAAATATTCGTCTGCACAATTTTCTGGATCATGCCTTTGTATCTTACCTTCTTGTTTATAGTTTCATACATATTGCTCATTTGTACATTTGTTTGCAGGTTGACATTGCTGCTGGAGGTTGGCATTCAACTGCATTAACTAAAGAGGGAGAGGTATTTCCTTCCTTTGGCTTTAACTGAAACATCATGTTTGAGCTTATTTCTGCCAAGCCACCAGAAGGATGGCAAATAAACATTGCTTTGTGCACAAGGGATTAATAGCTGTTCACTTTCTGGACCTCTATAGGTGTATGCTTGGGGGAGAGGAGAGCATGGGAGGCTTGGATTTGGAGATGATAAAAGTAGTCACATGGTTCCCCAAAAGGTTGAGCTTCTTGCTGGAGAGGATATTATTCAGGTAATTCTCCTATGCTGTGCCTGAGGTAATGGATTTTTTTTTGTCCAAGTTGAGCACCAGTACTCATTTTCTTGCGTGCAGGTATCATGTGGAGGAACCCATTCAGTTGCGCTAACTCGTGATGGACGAATGTTTTCTGTAAGTGTTTTTCTCTCCAGCTACTAGTTACTTTGTACCAAGAGTGCATATTCCTGTCATCTTGACCCCATTTGAGTGTAATACCACCTGTAAATTATGCAAATGAAAATAGACAAATATTTCAAATTTCAAACAAATTTGAGTGAACCAAAATAATGGCTGATTAGAACTGCTATAAGCACTCGCAAGTCCATAATCACTCAATTATGCCTCTGTGCTTTGGAGTATCGTATCATGAAACAACCTTTTGCAGTTTGATAGTCAATGTTGCCGAGCAGCTATGCAACATTTTTTTCTGCTCACCCTTGAGAACATACCCAAAGTTCTAGTCTATGAAATGCTGGCGACGAGGACACCACATTTCTCCATTAATACAGATCACTTGCATATTTTAGAGAGATTATTTTTTTCACCAGAGAAGTACTGATAGGTGTTTTTGGATACTTGAATCTCAGTAAAACTTTTAAAAACAGCATTCCTCTTTAACCATGCCTGGCTGTAAGCCTGTAATCCCTGAACAACCACAGGTTTTGCTTAAACAGGGAATCCATTCTGATTTGTTATCTAAAAAGAACAAAATTTGATCTCCAGGGAATCACTTATAATGTGTTTACATTGTATTCCCCTTCTGTTCTCGCAGTACGGTAGAGGTGACCATGGCCGTCTGGGCTACGGCAGGAAGGTCACGACGGGCCACCCGATGGAAGTCCCCATCGACCTGCCGCCGCCGGGAACCAGCGGCGGCGACTCCGGCGGGCAATGGCAGGCGAGGTACGTCGCCTGCGGCGGGAGGCACACGCTGGCCATCGCGACATGGACGGAGGCAGACGAGTAATCGATCGCCTCTTGGTTTTTTAAAGCCAAATCCCGGAGCTGGTACAGATAATACTACCGAGTACTTTTCGTGCAATAAGACAAGGCTAATGTTAAAATGATCTCTGAGATGTATGAGCTGAGTGATGAATAAACAAGGAGGAATAAAAGAATCGGGATTTTTCTTTCTGCTGAGATAAATAAGCATGGCCATCTCATCTTCTCGCTATGAATGATTTCCAAGTGAATTCATTACCCTAGGGAAGGAAAAACAAAAGTTGAGAAATGACAACTTTTGTGACGTAATCTGTTCCTTTCTTCTTTCCTCCCAAACTTATTTTTAAATATTATTTTTTATCCTCCCGCAAAGTTAATTATTAAGGTTTGAAAGTTGTATGCACTGTACATCTAAACTGTCTTAATATTATTTAATCAATGTTTTTAGGAGCAAGGCTTGCAATCTCGTTTTTTTTTTTTGGTCGAGATGCAAGTTAGAATGAGATGATGAATTTCACGTGACCTTGTGAAATTTGACCAAGGCCTTGTTTAGTTCCTAACTTTTTCTTTAAACTTCTAACTTTTCTATCACATCTAAACTTTTCTACAAATATAAACTTGTAACTTTTTTTTTAAACTTTCAATTTTGGCGTGAAACTAGACACAGCCCAATTGAACTACATTCAACAGAAACTGGTCGGTTTAGATTTTAGAGCTACGGGATCTGGATGACGAAATTCAAACAAAAAATAATCTTAAATTTTTGACCCTGAGGGGTTGAGAAATTTGGATTGGAAATTGGGGGCGCAACGGTCAGCCACAAATCCTCCCTACTCCCTAGTCCCTACCCTACACCTACCACCTCTTGCCCTTGGTCGATCTGGGCCGCCAAACTCCGATCGGACGGCGCTTATCGAGTTTGCTTTGTTCACACCGCGCGTGCCAGCGAGAGCCATTCTCGCCGGAGCGACCTCGCCGGCGACGCCGTCGCCGCCACCCCACCTCCGTGCGGTATGCGTTCTTCCTTCCCGCAGCTTCCAGCAGCGCGCTTCTCAACCCTCTCGCAGCGTTTGCTCGATCCGTGACGCTGACGCCTGCATCCACTGAAGGTAGGGTAGGTAGTGGCGGTTGCCGAGATGGCCGGGATGGTCGCCGCCGCGGCGCCGCCGGCGTCTCTTTGCCGTCCGATTGCTGTCCCCCGAGCTCCTATGCGCCGCCGCCGGCTCACTCCCCGCGTGAAGACGACGCCCTCCCTTCGCTGCGAAGGTAACCACTTCTCGCCATATGCTTTGGATCCCAGATCGACACACACGAGGTCAAATCGTTCTTAGGAAAGGGGATTAGAAAAAATTGGATACTGGAGTGCAAGCATAAAACTGGATCAACAACGGTTGAGCTCCATTTTGGGACTCGATATTAGAATCGCCTTGGCTGGCTAGTAGAATGCAGCATTTGGTTGTGATTGGTGTAGAGTAAGTGAGTAACCACCCACATTGAAGTTCTTGCTTCTGATCCTTGTTAAGCTGAGTATTACTCTACAAAGTGGGAGGGCAAGTTGTTCACAGAAGACTTCAGGGTAACCTGAATGTCTAGTATTATGTTGACATGTTGCCGAACACTAAGGGCAAAGCATATATACTGATGATAGCTCTAATGTTGGAAGTGTATTTGCTGCTAACCACCAGTACTCTTTACAGTAAAATACTGCAAAAATCACTTTGCACATGTAATCCTTTGCGCTTCACTGTAGAGATCAAGAATTAATGTACAAGTTAAGCAACAACATATGAGAAAACCTCTCACTGACCTGAGTGCACCCAACCCAATTACTTAATAGTTTTTACCCGGCGAAAAATTACTTAATAGTTTTGGTTACCACATATTTCTTTTCTGCTCTATAAATTTTCAAAGAAGTGCTCTCATCCAAGAACGTCCTAGTTTTGGGCTAGTGTGATTTATCATTGATTTCCTATGTTCAGGGTATGAAATCACTGCTACCTGTTTAAGTATTTCTGACAAGAGAGAATTGTCAATGCTTGACAAAATGCTTGTATTACAAAAAAAAAAAAGATTTGGAGGGAGAGTTGTCTCTCCAAACATTTTTTAAGAAGAAATTGTAAGCGTGTTGAGGATTGAACATGGGACCTCAGGGTTGAAAGTTGAAACCCTGTATATGGGATCCCTTGCCACTGCACTATCAAGTGCATATCAAAATGCTTATATTACTTTCATTGAGAGCCACCACATCATATTTTCAGACTGATGAACAAGTGGTGATTGTAATTAGCTCTTTCTATTTACAGTCAGTGTATCTGTGTTGTTTATGTTGTGGACAATTCAAAAACTCAAGCTACCAAACCACGTTCTAAAAGTATCTCATCGGCTGAATCTGTAGGGACAAAATATAAATACAATTTAAAGAATCATGTGTTTTCTTTTAGTTCTTTAAAAAACTTGGCCTTTTCAATAAAAAGATTGAGAAGCCTGTTTCTCAAGGAGAGAAAAAGAAGGCATACGTTTCACTTAGTATACAAGGGTAGAAGATCTATACAATGATTGTGACTTGTTTGGCAAAGTTGTTTAGCAATATTGCGGCATCTGTTTGATGGCCACCCTCCAAACTATGTGGCTGAGAAAGTGTACAAGTACACTAAGAAATCAAATTTTAGCAGATTCCCCGAAGATCGCTCTACTCCAGGTACAAGCCATGCGATCTTCAGAAGAGAGTAGTTCTGATGAGGACGATGAGATCCTTTCTGAGCTCAAAGAGAAGGTATGTTCACTTGGGAGAACACAATGTATTTCACTGAGTCAGTAATCTTATGATTGCTATGACCACAACACAGTGGGATGCTATTGAGAACAAGTCCTCTGTTCTCTTTTACGGAGGCGGAGCAATCATCGCTGTCTGGCTATCCTCGATTGTTGTCAAAGCTGTCGATTCAGTTCCAGTGGTATATGCCCAGCTTATATTGCTATTCCCCCATTTACTTGTAGCTGCTGCAAAATGCTGTCCTAGTCATGGTGTCACTTGTTTATCTAACTACTCTTCCTTCATGTAGCTTCCGAACATACTGGAGCTAGTTGGGCTTGGCTACTCGGGATGGTTTGTGTACCGCTACCTGCTCTTCAAGGTAATCTTGAATCATGTGGGCTGTCAGTGAAGCTGCTTTTGAGCTATTCAGCACGAGTTTCTTGAGTCTTGTCCATTTAACTTAGCTGTGCAAACCTAAAAGGCTGTTGGTTGAACCGTGGAGGATGCACAACTTGGTATTGATGGGGTCAGTAGTACAGATCACGTCGGTCCAATTGACAATTGTCCATGCCTGACATACCTAGCTTTGCCATGTCTATCACAGCTCCATCCCAAGTCAATTCCGTTTGTTTTTATCCTAGAGAAAAGTTATACTCCTACTACTTACCATTTGAATGTCAAATATGATTTGGTGCAACTTACTGTCGCACGTAGATAAATACGTGGCTGTGCCTTTTTTATTTGTCTGAGTATGACCCAGATCTACTTCATGTTTTAGTTGTACTCAAATGTTTGTTTCCCTTACAGCCTGTATTGTTTCTGGCAGGAAAACCGGGAAGAACTGGCCAATGGCTTTGATGCTCTAAAGAAAAGGATCACTGGAAATGAGGAATAGCTGTGTATCCTGTTTCTCTGCTTGAACGTTGTCATTAGAGCCTTTTGTTTTTTCTCATGTAAATGCTGGAAGCGTTATTGATGTTTATGGCCTCCCACATCTTCTGTACTGTCTGCAGCTCAGCGGGGTTTGCAGTATCATCTGACTTCTGAACAGATCTCCACATTTATGGCTGCGCTAAAATGCTTGTGATTCTTCTGATATGGAGGTCAGCTGGTCCTGTTTCTTGGCTGGCTTCCTTTCCCCAATGATTCAGCTGTATGTTACTACTGCTAAGTTTAAGCCAGAACTGATAAGTTTAAGCTGTAGTACAAGCAATTATTTGAAATAAATTCAGTAGTCCGAGAAGATTTCTGTTCTTGTGCCAACAGCATATGTATCCTCTTGCTAGTTGACCGGTTAAGAGAGTTGATTCTTCTGTGCATGTTAATTCAGGGTAGTTAGTCTGTTGCCACCAGCCATTGTCTTTGTGTGTGTGCCCTGTAGCCTCATGCAAGAATTATTTTCCATTTGATTTCAATGCTGCATATGACATGAGTCTCGATGCTTATCTGAGATCTTGCCGTATGGATGCTGTCAATTACGTGTCAATTCTGGATTTGCATCATACACATTGCTTTCCAGATTTGCTTCGGTGGAAATGGCATCCTTTTCTGCCATTAAGATGGAAACTAACCTGATATTTTCGAGCTGACTGTGCTGTGCCTGTCTCTGGACAGGGACACGTAAGGAGTTTGAAAGAGAAGATTGACAGCAATGGGCAATGGCTGCAACTTGGATATGAGGGATTTTAGTGTTTTCTTTGACAAGAACATGTACGGGTGAAATAATTTGTTTAGGCACGTCTCCTGTTTCTATTTTTCATTGTAACTTTTTTTAAGGATCGTCAGAAAGACGAGAGGCCTCTGTTTTTTTCTGTCAGAAAATCAAACTGTCCATATTTGTCCTGTCTAGTTTAAACGCATGCCAGCTAGACAATGCCCATAATTCACCAAGCCACATTTATGATTTTTTAGGTTCACAAGTTCATTTTGGTTTTCTAGCTGGGGTGGTTGGTACGAGGCAAACTATAAAATTCTGGAAAGGATGAATTTGGGCTTAACAATGCTCTTATTGACCCACCTAATGGTATATACATGTACTATTATACTTCTACCTATTAAATCACATATTGTTTGTCAAAAATTTTGGAAGTACAACTGTACATTATTTCCTTGCTCTAGGTCCGTCCCAGGTTTTAGATAGCTAATACAATACATTTAAGACTTAGAATTATAAAAAATATATATAGATGCAAAATCTCCACTTGTTCTCGGTGACAAATTTTTCCTTGTAGGAAGACTTTTAGACCACTAAGCAGTTCAACATCAAAAGAATCCTTTTAGGAAATAAGAAAAGGTATTTGGTAAACAGCTTTTCTCTGACCTTTTCTTCTCTAGACCTTGAAACAACAGATGAAGGGGGGGGGGGGGGTCAGAATTCTGAAGTCAGCAAAAGCCATTACTATATGCCGTGCAATACAGCTTAGGAAACATTATAAAATTATTATTTATTATAATAGATTTTATAACTGTTAATTTGTTAATTTATAACTCCCATTCCATGAACATTATAATGTTTTTTTGCCAGAGTTGTTTATTTTTTCCCCTTTTGAGTTGAGATCACAGGTCATTTTGCAATTTGCATCACCCATGGTGCGCTTCCACTTATATCAGCCCCTAAAATAAAACTAAAAAAAAAACATTCTTTTTCAGCACATTATCAGGTCATCACACAGACACGTCGGCCCCACCAACTCCAGGGCCCACATGTCATCATACGAAAAAACGCGTATCTCACGAGCTAGGAGGAGGAAGGGTATATCCCCCACCGACCGCGCGCACCGAGGCCAACCAGACCCGCCAACTATACCCCCCACTGACACGTGGGCCCAGGCGCGACCCGTCCCCCACATGTCATCCGCTGTCCAGCCTGGCTCGCCGCACACGTGGCGCCACACCATTGGCTCCCGTGCCAAGCCTCCCTGCTATAAAAGCACCCGTCTTCCCAACCCCTCCTCTCCGCCGAACAAAAAGCATTCGCATCCACGAGACCACTCGAACCCGACCCGCCTCGCCGCCGCCGCCACCGAAGGTTAGGGTTGCCGGAATTTTTTCTCTTCCTCTTCCTCTCGCGGTTGCATTTCTAGGCGTGCTCGATCTCACGGGAAGGCGTGCGGCGATGTTTTTTTTTTTGGCGATTTTTTTGGGGTGGTGGGTTCTGGACTGTGGGATGTGGTTTTGGGCTAGATCTGGTGTGCTCGGTGGTGATGGGTGATTTGGATGGGATTGGATTCGTGAGATCTGCGATCCCGTGCACGCGAGGGGAGTAGATCCGCTCGGTTTGGCGAGCTTCGTCTCGTTTAGAAGTGGGGATTTTTGTTTTTTGCTTTTTTTGGATTATCATCTCTGAGTTGAGCAAACGTCTGTTGGGGATTTGGAAAAGTTAGACAGATTTATTTATTTATTTATTTATTTATTTATTTATTTATTTATTTATTGTGGAAGTATGTTGATGGTATCGGTTATTAGCTGCGTTTGATCCACGGATTAGATCTAGGTTTAATCTGTTAATAGTGTGGGGATCTATATATATGTAGCGGTGAAAGGTGCACGCCTGCTCGGTATTGGGGTGATAATTTTTTTATCTGGATTGGGAGGTAGGTGGTCTTGGTTTGTGGAAAATCAGTGTTTGTCTCGTGGGTGGATTGATGCGACGTTTAGATCTAGCCTAGCCATGTTTATGATTTATTGATCTGCAATGTTTAGATATATCCCTCATTATAAGGCTGTAATTGAGTTTCTGTTAGTTCTTTCTGTATTGAACAATTTTTAGTGATTACAAATACAACTTAGTTGAGATTATGAAATATTTTGAATTTGGACATGATATTGGCTTATTCATTTGTTACAGCCTTTAAAAAGAGTTAGTATTAAATATTTGATGGAATTTGTAGGATTCAGTAGTATTATTCACAATTGTTTAATTATTCATTTCTCAACAAATGAACATCCTTGATATGAATGGGAACATGATCTGTTTTGTACAATTATACCTTCTGGAGAGACCCCATGGCTTTCAGATTATTAATGTTGGTGAATGCTTATCAGTACCTTTTTATCTGGCTACAGTAATCCCTTAATTGGTCAAAATGTCTCGGGAGGAGAATGTCTACATGGCCAAGCTGGCCGAGCAGGCTGAAAGGTATGAGGAGATGGTTGAGTACATGGAGAAGGTTGCAAAGACTGTAGATGTGGAAGAGCTCACTGTTGAGGAGCGCAACCTCTTGTCTGTTGCTTACAAGAATGTGATTGGTGCCCGCCGTGCCTCCTGGCGTATTGTCTCATCCATTGAACAGAAGGAGGAGGGTCGTGGCAATGAGGAACATGTTACTCTGATCAAGGAGTACCGTGGCAAGATTGAAGCTGAGCTGAGCAAGATTTGCGATGGTATCCTGAAGTTGCTTGACTCACACCTTGTGCCCTCATCTACTGCTGCAGAATCTAAGGTGTTTTACCTCAAGATGAAGGGTGATTACCACAGGTTGGGAATGATGCAGCACTTATCATAAAAACAACTGAATCCTTAGTTTATATTGACTATTCTAATTTGGTTAGTTTATAATTTGCAGGTACCTTGCGGAATTTAAGACTGGTGCCGAGAGAAAGGAAGCTGCTGAGAGCACAATGGTGGCTTACAAGGCTGCTCAGGTAGGTTGATTTATTTTAATTCTGAGATAACATATATGCTATACCACTGATTCACTTCTCATTTTATTACTCTAGCAACTAATTAGTACATGTCTCCATCTGGTAATAAATGCATTTCATTGACTGCTTAGTCGATTCAGGCAATGCTTTCTGAAATTGTCTGTCCCACGTTTTTCTATGTAGGATATTGCTCTGGCGGATCTTGCTCCCACCCATCCCATAAGGCTTGGACTGGCACTTAACTTCTCTGTGTTCTACTACGAGATTCTAAACTCTCCAGACAAGGCTTGCAACCTTGCTAAGCAGGTTGGTGGTCATTTGCTCTTCTCTTCAATATAATCATGATTGTGTCATTAGTATGAGGTTTCTGTGCTTTAGGATATGTTGTATGATATTAATTTGAATTTATACTTTGAAGTTAACTTGCTGGTCATTAAACTCTATAGTTTCCTGCTTTAACTTGGATATTCTTCCCCTGCTTATTGTTGATTAAATTTGTATTTGTGCACGTGGTAGTATTTGCCTAGTGATAGCTCATAGTGTGGTAATTATTTTAATGGGGCCAAAGCCAACAAAAAAGTAAGCATGATAAATATAGGTTTGTCAAATCTGAACAAACTATTTTGTTTTATGCATTGTTGAATCGCTGGTCCTTGATGTGTCTGTGCTTGTTGTATGAACCCTGACTTTTTTGCCATCTGGACGTTTGTCGCTATATCAACTCTAAATAAATGTGACTGATGAACCGTTTGCTACAGGCGTTTGACGAAGCCATCTCCGAGTTGGATACCCTCGGGGAGGAGTCTTACAAGGACAGCACTTTGATCATGCAGCTCCTGAGGGACAACTTGACCCTCTGGACCTCTGACCTCACGGTACCTCTCAACACATCATAAGCTCCCTTCTGCAAAATCCATCGACCTAATGAGCAACTTGCTAATTTTACCTTGTGAAACTATCTGTGGCAGGAGGACGGTGGTGATGAGGTGAAAGAAGCCTCCAAGGGCGACGCCTGCGAGGGCCAGTAAAATGGGAAGATCGATCGATCGATGGCTCCGCATGTTATTGGAGACCATCGATTTAGATGCCTCATGCTGCTGTCACCATGATGGATGGATTCTTCTCCTGTTCTACTAGAATGTTTTTCTTCCTGTCCCCCCTTCCTCTCTCTTCTCTGGTTTTTACTAGGGTGGTAGCGGTCGAATTAGTTCTTCCCATTGCTTTGCATTTGGTGCTAGTGGTCCGTCTGGGCTGATTGTTTTCCTCTGGATATGACTCTCGTGTGTGTTGTCTCCAGATAGTGTTTTATTGAGCAATATTTAAAGTTGTCGTCCACCTCCTCGATGTTGTTTGTCTGCCCTTGTGCGTTGTTGAATTGCGATGTCGTCGATTGCCTTTCGGTGGGCTCGAAAATATTGTTCCAACTTCGAGTGGTTTGAAACAAAAGACCCAAAATGAGCCGAACCGATACGTTTATGCGTTGCGGAGTTATTTTATTTGGAACGGGACACCTAATCTTTTTAATTTTTATTATAATAAGAAAAAAAAGATCTTGAGAGCTTATTTGGACATCAGGATTTCTGAAAGAGTGAATTGCACCTTGGGCTAGTGTTTGTTACCTATGTTGCATATTGGAATAGGTAGTTGTACGTATTTTCACTTTGAAAATCACTATACGTACGATTTGTACCAGCGCTTAGCTGCTAATTGCTCTAGCCCACATGGAGAGAAGCTGGATCATATGCTTTGTTACCGAAGATTGCATTTTGGACTGGACT